GTTTGGATACTATCGAGCTGTTGAAACACCAAAATGACCATATTTGACAAAACTTTCTGCGCTGCAGGCACTATTGAAGATTTTGATTTAAAAAATTGCGTTTTTTCGGCTCGCTCACCCCTGGTACTTTTTAGTGCCACAGGTGCTTTAATAAAACTTCCTCGATCTAAAAAAAAGTTGACAAAAAAGTGACCCTCTGAAAAATGTTGGCAGCTACCATTAGTTTCGTCTATGAAGGTCACCACCGGAATTCGTGAGCAATTTTATTCGTGTTGACCAATCATCGTGTCTGATTGAACCTCAAAATCACCTGCACAACTTGTTTTTTCTACTGCCTCTTAAACAGATCCAGACATCCTGTCTCGTGTATCTGGCTTGTTTGCTCCATAACAAATTGAAAGCCAGTTATGCTCCATTAAATTGCACCTGTCCATTTGGTTTATATAATGAGCTCAATTCAACATTACCACCTGAAAATCAGCTTAATATTTGTCTAAAAATACACGTCAAATACACTCCGTCTGAAGCATACGTTGTAATCAAAGCGTTTTTAAAACACTTTTTATCGAGCCAAGCTTCAAACATAAATTGCTGTTCTCTGCAACATATGTTTTTTACTTCAAAACTTGTTTAATCATAAATAAGCTAGCAAACCATAACTAACTAGTGAACATATATTGCATAATATAATCATAAAAGTATTAGAAACATTAAGATTCGCAAAGATGTCCTCGAATAATGCGAATCGTGCTCTTGGTGACAGATCGATCTATCCCTATCCACCTGCAAATAGCGGGCAGATGCTTCACACAGGGCCCGACGGGGTAGGGGATTACAGGCCTCGACTCTATAGCAACCCGAGTTACGTTGGGATTGGACCGAAAGGCGCCGAGGCCACGAACGATATCTCGTATCTATTCGGACCCGACTTCGTCGATAAGCCGAGAAGAAAACATGAACGAATAGGAGAGATTGGATGCGATATTCGGGTCTTAATTGATCAAATAAATCGCGGCGAAAAGGAAACCTCTCGGCCGAGCAGTGTTCCATCTTCTGAGGATATAAATCCGAACCCGATTCACCCGATACGTCATGGCCCCTTCCGGACCGCGGTCGAAAACAATGCAATTTTCCACAAATTCCAAGAGCCATGGTATCCTGATAGGCCAAATACACAATTATACATGGGATGGCCAGTTAACTTGAATAGGTCGCTTATTAGCCAGCAACAGGGAGGAATGGGACGCTCCAAGCAGTTTGGAAGGACAACAAGTCGAGGATCCCACGCCGGAAACGAAAGTGCAGTCCAAAGTGGAGTGTTCGGTAGGAAAACTGGATCAGTTACGTCACCTTCGAGCAGTTCGGATAAAATAAAATGAAGGATAGCGACAAAGAGCTGGGAAGTTTAATTACGCAGTGCCAAAGTTTTTTGAAAGTGAACTCTCGAGCTGATAAAATTTGATCATAAAGTAAAGATTTTTAAAGTGAAAGATTTTTTGTTTGATTATTCATGAATCAAGTACGGTGCCTTCACGATTCTAGCGAGTCAATTAAGAAAACCGCATGATAGCCAGGGGAAGACTTTTGGGAGTGCTAAGGGGGTGGGGGTTGCGGAACCTTTTCCCTTTTCTCAGGGATTCGACCTCCTCGCAACCCAAAGACTCCACATGACATAATTTTACGACATCCATTTTCTGTCAAATGGATGTCGTCAAATTATGCCATGAGCGCCTTTAGTTTTTGGCCCCTAAAGTTTTTCTAAAGGCGCCAAAAAAGCTATCTTTTGGAGAAAAGGTCTCAAAAAGTTCTCATAAATGGCTTTTTTACCTGTTTTTTTTTCTTCAAAAATTGGCTTTTTGCGCGGGTCAAAATAGCGTTTTTTTGTGCTTTAGAAGAGGTCGGAAATTAAATATGAACGACCAAAACTTTTTAAAACCCGTCCCTTCGCGAAAATCCTGGATCCCCCTGTTATTAGTTTTAGCTTAGTAAAAATAGAGAAGAAAGTAACAATTGAGAAAAGAAAGTAACAAATAGAAAAGAAAGTGGGACAATTAACTAACTGTTTGCTTTCTGGCTCAGTTTTTACGCTCGAAATTGTCTATTTTTGAAAAAATGTTGCTCAAAATTTACAAGGTGTATAAACACTTTTTACATGGACCAAGAGCAAATAATCAGAGCTACCCTTAATGAAAGTATCAATTTTTGATTTCAAGCAGTTACCAGCTTATTCATATTTGAAAATGTTAGTTTATGCCTTCGAATGTAAGAGTCTCTAACGGCACGAGAATATCAAAAACTTACCATATTAGATTTTTCCTTGAGAATATCCCAAATTGCGAGGCAATGGTCACGACGTTGAAAAAAATTAATGCAGAAAAAAACTTGCATTTTCAGACCCGCAGCAAACTGGTTATTCCTATTGGGAACTTTCACAGATGGTTTGTTTGTTCATTTGCTCTCGATTCAGGAGAAATTTACTTAAGCTCTAAATAATTTTTCTGCCAAATTTGAAAACCGACAAGTTAGAGAAAGAAAACTAACTTTTCGTTTGATATTGCCCAAAAGTTTACAAATTAAATTAGAATTTAGAAAGAACCAGTACTGATCAGGGCGAAGCCGTAAACGTTCCGGTTGTCTTTTAAGGTCTATGGAGCAGTAATAACAAGAAAAAATCAAACGTATTAAAACCAAATTTTTTTGTATAAATTGTGGTTTTTTGTGAAAATCATCCCCCTACATGCCATATAAAATAATAAGCTTCCTTCAACTAATTTAGAACAATTTCTAAGACGAACAAATCTCCTCTCACGCGTTAATACCCGCACTGGAATTTCATTATAATCGATATATCGGCAAAAAACTCAACCCATATAATCGTTTTTCATGACCCTTGCAACTATGAAAATGAATGTTTAAGGGATTATAATTGATTATTTTCAATATTTGATAATCATTTAAAATCGATTATTTTGAACATATAATACAATTATTAGGCCACAAAAATCCATGAGAAATTTGCAGAAAGTTGCTCCTTATTGCCAGAAAGTTGTTTTTAATTTCGTTGTGAGATTTAATTCAATAAAAAGTTTGTGTATTTGATTGTCATTTCTGCTCAAGTTCATGTTAAAATTTTTTTTATATGAAATCAAATTGGTTAAAAGAGGTTCAAGAGGTTTGTCTCAGACCAAAGAGAAAAAAAATCGATAGTTCAAACTTCAGTCGAAGAAGTCTCATTAATCATAATTTTTTATCCTAATTTAATTCAATTGAAAACGGTGATAGGTTTGAAAATTTTTTCACTATTTTTAGCAAGAATCAGTTTGCAACCGTTCGTGTTGACTACTCCTTGTTATGGTAATGATTGGGCCAAAATTGTCGCAATAGTTGAATTGCTCCTTTCCACGATGATCCGCGACGTTCAAAAACGAAACGATTTCAAACCGCTGGCTACGTTTAGCTAAGCTG